CTGAGCCGCGTAAGTACGAGAAGCTAAAATGAACTGGGACCCCATGTCAATGGCTTCAATAGCCACACTCGCATGAGGGTACAAACCTGAGGGAGTGCCAGCGCAAAGCGCCAGTCTCGAGAACGTCCCATTGAGGCGGATTGACTGGCGGTGGGTACATCGCGGACTCCTGTACTTCCTTATTTTATACGCTACCAAATTACGGAGAATCTGTTCCTTGCCATGTCACAGATAATCAGACTAGCGCTTGTCCATAAATAATCCTACAGCATTTCAGAAGACAAGGAACGGGATACCAAAGCCGTGGGGCGCCCCCAACAAAAATAGATGTGGTGTGGCGTCGCGGATGAAAGGCGGCCAACGGGGAACGGGTATTTGAGGCCGAGCGTATGTAGGAAAACTCCAATTGGCACGGAAGATGGGTATCCCGGCGCCGCAGAAATAGAGCCTAGACTCGGAGGCACATGTAGAGACGGCTTAATGGACAGCCTTAGAAGTTGTTCATGATAATGGCCCTCCAGGGAGATGGAATAGCAGTGGAACCTTGACGTAGGCAGCTCCTGAGGCCTGTGGCCTGAGTGAGGAGATGAAGGAGCATAAGCTAGGTGAAACACGTGACTTACGCGGGTGACGGCAATCACCACTTTAGTACAACAACGAGACGCGTCACCCGGAATAGATGGCATGAGATGGCTATATGGGTATCTGTTTCTTGATGAGGGTTTGAATCATATTTTAACCCAAAAAAAACCTCTGTAAATCACGAATTAGTCATGATTATGTACCACAGGAACGATAGCATTCTTGTCTCGATCGATCATGATCAGGTCTAGAATACGCTGGGGAGCCTATTCCATGATGTTGGACTCGGAATGTATCAGTTTAAAATAGCATGTATGTGGCTCATCACCTGCTAATTCTGGCTGGTTCCTTGACGTTTCTGAAACTGATTAGATTCGTATTTACTCCCGCCTGTACTGCTAGTGGCTGTCGCTGGCTGTCGTCGCACACACATCTCCTCCTTGATCACGCGAGCCGACATCGCTCAATTCTGTTCAGTGATAGACTTGTTCATCATTCAAGCCTTTTCTCTACCCTCCGTTGATGTCGCCTGAGCACCAACCAAATGGCCGCCTCGCGCTAATAGAGGGGAACATTGATATACACCCGTCGCATAACATACGTCTATTCTACTTCAATGATATCCGGGATATCAAAGGTGAACGTGGTGCTCATATTGGGGATCCCGTCGAGCACATGTACTGCGTAGCCGCCTTTTTCATCCGAATTCGCAACAAGCAGCAGTGTCCCAACCCCATTCGTACCCGATATAGGACTGAGGTAAATCGTGTGAAGGGATGGTATGCGCGCCCCCGGAAGGCCGGCGATGGTGCACCGGAGGTTGTGGACGAAAGTCATCGTGACTGTCGCCACGCAATTTTCCAGCTTGAGTGAGCTGAGTTTCTGCATGCTCGGTTGGTACAGAAGCTGGACCATCTGGCGTTCGGAGATGCGTGACTCCACGAAGATGAGGCGGCGCAGGGTGCAGGTGGAACGGGCAAGGAATGACATGATGGTCTGCTGCCGCCATGCACCACGGCCCCCGACGATGGCGAGGGAGATGAGCGCCGGGAGATTCACGTGGGCGAGGAGCAGAGTGACGTCGTCGATTCCCGGCGTCTCGTCGCTTTGTAGCAGCAGGCATTTAAGGCGGTGAACAAGAACGCGTTGTGGCGGCAGCTGCTCGGACGAAGTGATGATGAAGGCGCAATCCCGGAGACGTGGCGCGTAGGAGAGTACGCGGAAGCTTTCGACAAGGGTGATTGAGCCCAGCCTCAGGCTCTCGAGCTGCGACCAGCGGGCATTTGGCAGTGGATCACCGAGGAAACCAAAGCGGATCAGCTTCGGTGCGTTCGCCACGACGCCAGAGATCCACTCCCATGCCAATGTTTTGGGGGAGAGGGAGATGTCCAGGAATGTAAGCTGGCTAGCCGGCGCACAATTTTTCAGAGTTGGGAATTTATGTGCCGGACGCCTCCGGTATTGGCCGCTCCACGGCTGCTGTAAATCTAGGCACAAGTTCCGGATGCGCCCCATACTTCGTCCAAGTAGGCGCAGTGCAGCATCCAGCGCCGGCGGAAAGTAGGATGTATAGCGGAGATAGATATCGATGGGCAGTGGGTATGAGCGGGAGATGCAAGTGGTATCGAAGGCGGGAGTCCAGCCCGGCCGAATAACGAGCTCCATCTTGGTCCACAGGGAAGGTGTCGAGATGGCGACGGATCTCCAATGCATTGAAACGCCACAAAGCAGCAACGCCTTTGGCCGGGAGTCGAAGGTCGTGCGGTACATTACGAAGTGTTCGAATATCACCGCTAGGACCTTTTCTGGCAGCCGGTTGAACGCAGCCAGGAGTACCTGAACACGTAGAAGCGCAGAGCTGATCAGGGCTCGCTCATCCCGGAGCTTGGTTGAACTGGGACTCGTAGGTGGCAAAGAAGCCATCTTGTGTTGCAGCTGCCTCGAAACAACTCGGACGGCGGCTAGCTCCTTCGGAGACCGAGCATTCCAATTGGATTTTAGGTTCGTTATGTTACGAAGCATGTGTCGATGGTTTCCTAGAATTTCATCAATGAGAACGCTTTGCCACTGAACGCCCAGCCACTAGGGTGGAGTGGAAGGCTGACTCACTTGTTCGTGGCCAGGGAGCTTGAAGAGGGAGTTGGAAGGGATGTCGAGAACTAAATTAGAGAAGGTTAGAGGGGAAATGCAAGTGAAAGAATGAGGTGGCACCACGCGTCGCGACGAATTCCATTGTCTGATCCCAATCATGTGACCGTTACAATCGAGCACAACGAAAACAAAGAAGAGGTTTGTTGTACTGACTGTTCCCCACAGATCGAGGAGTTGTGGGAGATTGAGTTTCGAGAATGGAACGTTTACAGATGAACTCGAACGACCATTCAGCGACCAGAAAGCAAAGTAGCTCCTGGCTTGAGCCTTCACGTTGAATATAAGCCAGACGAAGAACAATTCGACCCCGTACAGTCTCTGGAGGCCGAGCCACATTGACCTTCGAGGAACCTCAGAACCCAGGGACTCTCGGGAGTCTGGCGGATGAAAGCGGGTGGCCGGGAGAGAGCGGAACAGATGATCACGTAAGCCTGTCTCTTCTTCAGTCTTCACCGCTGGCTTCACCTTTGCTATTGAACTCGAATTTTGAGCAACGTTGCAACTCACCACTCGGGCTTTTATAATGGTGCAAAAATGGCCTTAACGATTTATTCTCCTGCGTCGTGATCGGGTTGCCAGTTCAACGACGCTGGATATCGGGGAATCGGGGACAACGGGTCTGGTATCAGCGGCGACAACGACTGAGCGCAGGACGCCGAACAGGCGGACCAAACGACTCGGCAAATATTTTTTTCCACCTGTCCTGCCTGCAGGAAATTTTAGATTGGGCGGTGGCACCCTTCTTCGACATCGCCGCTGATCGTGCGACGTGAACACCGCTGATCCTAAATAGAAATAAGGCCATGCAATCACCATATAAAAGACGGGCGACTCTGAGCGGTCTTTAGAGTATCACCCAAGTATCTCGACATCCAACATGAGGAATCTTCTAGCGCTTGGTCTTTCATTGTGTCCACTTCTTGGCGAATACTGCGACTCCCTGGAATGCATGAATCTGAATTCCATGCAGTGATTTCCGTTCCGGCCCCAGATTATTGTTACCGTTGTCGCCGCGCCCTTCTTCCAGGATTTTGGAATAATTGCCTCGGTTACACCGGTCGGAACTGCGCCTGCGGGCGATCATCCAACCCGCGTCCGACCTTTTTGTTGGGGCAACCGGTGAGTGTCCCCATTAATCACCGATAAATTCTGACAGCTTCCTCACCCATCCACCCGTGTAGCGACTTCCATCGAAGGGGCGGACGGCTACACCCTAAGGTATGAAAATCACGGCGTCATGTTCGGCACGGCGCCAGTGTGAGTCCACGCCACTTTCGTCACTTAGTAACTTCGCTTAATTTCGCGCAAGTTTGTGACTTTGATGGAATCAGAGAAAGTTCGTGATTTTGACGAGTTTCTGTGAAAGTTCGTGAGTTGCTTGTCAAGCGGCGCTCCTCGGCACATCATGGAGTGATGCGTGCCATCAACTTGCCGAGAGTGGCCGGTTAGGTTCGGGTTAGTGGTTAGTGGTTAGAGGTTAGGGGTTTGGGTTTGGGTTTGGGTTTGGGTTAGCGGTTAGAGGTTAGTTAGGGTTAATGGTTAGGGTTAGAGGTTAGCGGTTAGGGTTAGCAAGGTATCTATATAAAAACATCTGGAGAGACTTGCGTTGAAGAAAAATGATGGCCGCGTTGATGGTTTGATTTGGTGGGGCTTGCACATCTCACGAACTTTCCCGGAAACTCGTCAATGTGACGAACTTTCCCGGATTTCCATCAGAGTCACGAACTTACGCGCAATTAAGCGAAGTTACTAAGTGACGAAGGTCACTACGACTCCGCCAGTGTCCATTGGAGATTTGCGCACGTTCATTGACGGCACCATTGCGTCCTGTGGTTTGCACGAATTCGGGAGGGTCCAGACCACGAGCACGCAAGCCGTACAGGCCATCGCGACCTTTACGGTGTCGGGCAGCCGTCTGACGGTTAGCTCCACAGCATCGTCAGCGACTCGCAGCAGAAGTACCGCGACTGCAGGGTCCGGGACGTCGGCGCTGAATCCAACGCGTACCACAGGCCCGGGCTCCTCAGGCGAGCCGTCGCAGACGGCGGATCAGAACGCAGGTTGCGGTCGGTGGGGTTGCACGACTCGGAGGGGCTATGGACCGGTTATGGCTGCGGTGTCTGTGGCTCCGAGTCTACTGGTAGTCATGTAGGGATGATGGATGGGAAAATACTAGTAGAACTGGGCAGTAGACTGGAAGAGGAACGAGCGCGACGTAGTAGTGACCGTGATAAAATGAGATTCATTTGAAAGCAAGGAAAAAAGGTCGACCTAACCTTGATTCGAACAAGGAACTCCCGCAAACACTTTTGCCGCCTTTGCAAAGGGTGCGAGCGCGATGCATTTCGCCACCAGGTCTGATTTCTAGCAGCTTGGCCTCGTCTAACGGTGCTCTCTCCCGCAGTCATTTATTCAGAGCGAGAGCGCAACTGTCGGAGGCATATCGGAGGACGGTCCAGACCGCCGGAGGCTCGCAGCCATTGAACGCGGGCGCGGGAGTTTTCGGAAGGTTCGGGTCGAAACAGGAGAGGCTTCCAGCCGTTTTCATCCAGATTCTCAAGCTCAGAGATCGCCAAAAGGTAGGTCGAGGTACTTCGAGGCCAATTGGCTGCCAGCGGGCCGGATCAGAGCCCCGCTGATCCGAGGCTGCCGAATCGGCAGTGTCCTCGACGACATCCTCGCCTTGGCATCATACTTATCGTGCCTTGAATTCAGGTGCGCTGGGCACGGCGGGGCCCACAATTTGAATGGGGAGCTTGGTCACTGGCGACGTTTTCTACGGTTTACTTGCGGGTTCGGGCGGGTTACTAGCGGCATATACACGTTTCACCATGAGCGCTAACACTGCTGCCACACAACCGCATAGCAGTGTATATGTGTAACGTCAGGGCGCCGTTGGAAACCGCAAACTTAGGCGAACTTACCCGCTACCAGTGGAGGCTTTCAGGACATTCTCCCGGACACTTGACGCTTTCATTCCAAGAAAAAAAGCAAACTTCCGAGCAATTTATCTTGCAATTTATCCCAAATTCTATTCAATTTCTTGTCAATGCGGTACTGCTCACGCGCTCACGGGGCTGGCGAGGCTATGCAATCTTAGCGCATCTCCATGTACCATAGCAACGGTGGGCGGATCACCCCCACAAGGATCCCCAGAATCGCCGATCAATATCCTCAAACTCGGAAGGCCGTCCTGGAAATACTTAAAAGCCGGCCAAGAGGCCTCGGTTCCCCATTCCCTTTCTCTGCGTCGACCTGGTGTCTTTTTTTGTTCTTTCTTCTATCGCCTTTACACTTTTTTTTCAATAATCCCACTTTAATCACCATCTCTAATGGCACGCATCCTTTCCGTCTTCCTCGCTGTCTTCATCGCCTCTGCTGCTGTCGCGGGTGAGAACTTTATCTCCCATCTCCCGCCCACACCTCTATACTCACATCAAATCCGTTCTCAGCCCCAGTGGAGAACCGCGGGCTGGGCAGCCTCACCTGCAACGTCGACCGCTTCAAGATCGTCACCGGCCTTATCGCGACTGGCGCCGCCGTGAAGAAGATCGACACGACGTGAGTCCCCTCTGATTTACCCGATTTACCCGCTGACTTCGCCTTCCAGCAACCCCGACACGGCCACCGCCGTTGCCGCCGCCCAGGCGGGCCTCACCGCCGCCGGCGACTCGATCAAGGACATCGCGCTCGCCCTCGTTACGGGCAAGGCTCCCCCAGCGGACGCGCGCACGGGCGTCTCGCAGGGGCTCAACGACACGCGCTCAGCGCTCGAGGGCATCACCGAGTGCGTCCGCATTTATTGCCTAGCCCTCATATATCGTTAACCGTACTCTATTAGTACGACCGTGACCGACAGCGTGGCGAAGGCGCAGAGCCTGCTCCAGGCGGCGATTGAAGACGGCAACGACGTCATCGCAGACTGCAAGTAAAGGAGAAATGCGTGGAAGAAGATTAATATTGTGGGATGTATCGGCGTGTAGGGATAGTAATGCGGAAATGCAGACTTGGGTTTCACTTGAAAACGAAAAATCGAGAACGGGCGAGCGAAGAAGCCGCGAGGCGATCCTGAGCTAAGCTGAACCACATACCCTGAGAGTCCCCATTCCGAGAAACTGTGATTCAACATGGAATGCCGCAGACAGATACCCTTCACCATCAGGTCCTACTAGTATTCCTGTTGAGTTGAGCCTTTTCTTGTTCTCAAGTCAACCCTCGCAACACCATTTAAGATCGGGAGCAGATGGTTGAGATGCCGGGGTCGGAATTTTGCAGGGCTCAGAGGTTGGTTCTCTGCGGTGGACAATTGACACCAGACGCAGGATGATACAGACCGAAAAAAAACGCTGGAGAAATAATAGACGACGACCTACATGTAGTCTGGATTCGAACCAGGGACTTCCGTGGTTCCACATGTGGATCCGGTTATCAAGTGCAGATGTCATACCCTTTCACTACCAGGTCTTACTCTTACGAAATTGAACCTCGTCTCGTTCCTCAGCACTAGCAACCAAATTCAAGTACTGTGTGTCAATGAGAGTGGTCACAGAATTTGGAATGGCCATCGTCTGCGCATGGGAAATTCACACCAGTCGCAGGATGCTGTGGCGGAAAAAAAGGTTGCTAAAGCAATGAGTTACGACCTAGCCTGGATTCGAACCAGGAGCTTCCGCAGACACCGCAGTTGTCAACCTGATTCCTTTCACCACCAGATCTTATTCCTACCCAATTGAACCTTATCTCGTCCTTCAGTCAACTCTCGCAACCAAATGCATCAGCGGACGTGGCGCGCTGCGCTCAAGCCTGATCTCGCTGGTGGCCGCCAGGATCGTGGCGTTCGTGATATGGCTCACCGCCCGAATTCGTCAGTGTGCACTGCGATATCGACAAGAGCCGTGACCTGTACATGACGCATTGCATACGCTGTCGTCTCGCTCTGGCTCCTCAACAAAGGTATAGCAGGTCGAATGCGAGGCAGGCTATACATACGTGCGGATCCCATCTATAAATCGTTTAAAACATGCGCAGAAATGACCAGAATGCAGAGCACCGATTAGATAGCTCAACCCCAGACACCCCCGGGCGTTCAAATTCGGGAACGAACTCCGCAGCGTGCGCATGCGCAGCGCAAATTCCTCGCTGTTCCCCGGGCTGCTCCACGGGAGTGTGGACCGCAGAAGTACGATCTCGACGGTGCGCAGCGCGGGTGTCAAACGCCCGCTGATCGTGGCGTCAAGGCGGCGGAGAGAGGTGCCGTCCAGCGAGCCCGTGACGGCGATTCGGATGCGGAGCTCCTCGAGGTGGTTATCTGGGCCTAAGGATGCGAGGAGTGCCGCGGCGCCGCCGCCGCCCCCAAAGCCCCCGAACATCTCGATCTTCTTCAGCCCGGGAAAGGCTGCGAGGGAAAAGGAGCCCGTCGCGTCGACTGCGGATGGGGATGAATACAAGATGCAGAATGGGTTGTGGGGGATTTACATACGCGCATTGATCCGGAGGGTGTGCAAAAGGGGCGCACAGCGCATGACCTGTGTAACGCCGGGGGAGGTTGCGCGCGCGATGTCGATCGCGGTGAGGGCGGAGAAATCGAAGGGAGAGAGCGGGTGGACGAGCCACGCGGGGTCTTGGCGGAGGGTGCTAGACGCGTTGAGTTCGAGGCCCGCCAGCGTAATACGGTGTGCGCCTAGATCTGCGTGGGGGCCGGAGAGAGAGATTATCTCTACGTCGTGCAGAGAGAGATAGGTGAGCGCCGAAACGCGGAGATGGAACAACGCGCGGAGGCTGTCCAAGTCTTCGAAAGTGATGCACCAGATTTTCAGTCTGCGAAGTGAGGGAAGGCTGCTCAATCTCGCCGCGAGAGACACGGTCCTCCCTGATTGGGGTGTGTCCCTCGTTCCATAGAACAGCAGGCTGTCGAGATGTGTGAATTGGACGCTGGCTACGTGGGTAAGGCTCTCGAGGTCGAAGCTGACCACGAGATGCCGAATGAAGTGTACTAGGTGTGGGCTTTCCAGGAGAATCGAACCAAATCTGTGGGCAACTTTCGAAGCCGCACTCGTTGTCCCCAGCGCGAGGTCGACTCCGAGATTGATTTCACGAAACAGATGGCGCTGCGCAGACGAGGTGAAGGGCTGCGAGACAAGGGCGCAGGACTTGAGGTCAGCGGGGGATTCGTGAAGGAAATCGGCGATGTAATCGCAGATCTCCTGAACCTGGAGTGCAGGGGAAGGCACCATCGGATTCCTCGGCGTGGAGATGTGCATCCCCGTGACACGTGCGCAAACTATGACGGGCGTTATTGGACAAAACCCCGATGACCATCAATGTCCATTGATGGCCATTGATTTCGTCGATGAGCATCGATGGCCATGCATGTCCACCGTGTGCACGTTCGTTTCATCCAGTGGCCATCTATGGACACCTATGCTGGGGACTGCATAATTTTTCAACAGTGTCAGTATTTCGGCTGCCTCCGTAGGTGTTCAACATTAATGGCACACCGCCGCTGTCTTTATGTCGCGTCCACCCAATTCAGTACCTCTTGCATGAATTTACTCAAATTTGCACCCAAATTCTTGATCTTTCCGGAAGGTCTTCCTGGAGGGAGTCAGATGGATAGACCCTTGTTACATTTTTGAAACACGTAGCAGAGCTCCAGCCATTCTCAAATTTTTATGGTTCCTGCTTTGTCGAATCCTGGAGGTATTTCATTTGTGATGTCTGCCATATGATCAGGGCCAGGAGAGAGAGCAAGATAACAAATGATTTGAGAAGAGTAGACCACCAGTAGTGATCAATCCGCTATACAGAGGTAGGTTAGGCATGAAAATAAATTTGACAAATATCGGGGTAATTGCGAGGCATTGGGCATTGATGTTGGGTGTGAAACATCCATTGGGGACTGGTGTCACATTGATGTTGAGAATGGATGGGGCATCAATGTTGGGCAGTAGAGTCTGATAGAAGCAGTCAGCATCAATGGTACATTAGAATTGGCCAGTTCGAGCACTCTTGGAGGCTCATCCTTTAATTCAGGAACATTCGTGGCCACTGACTCGGCATCCATGAGCATTGATGACCATCCAGTGTCATCGATGTTCACTGATGTTCATCAATGCCCACAGGGGTTTTGTCCAGTAACAGCGGTTATAGCAAACACTGTAACTGGGGACTAGCAATCACCGCCACACAAATGTCTGTTTGTCCCTTGTTTGTTTTCAGTCGGTCCGATCCCCAGCCTTCTACAATGACTCTATTGCCCCAACTAAAATTGAGAGAGCATTTAAGACAAGTCCTTCGGGAATTTCCCAGCCAGAATTTTTAAAAGTCGCACAGAAAAAGTTTTACAACTTGCTTGAAATGGCTGAGAAATCGCTGTCGAACATGTAAAAAAATCGCCAGAAAACAAATAAAAGACAAAATAGAAAATCGGCTCGGGACATTCCCTGTATCAGGATAGCACGAAGCGATTCCCTACTCAAAGTGTGCCCGGAATGTGGACGGTTGAGGCAGTACATCGGACTGATCACCAACTGCCATCAAAACCCTTTCGGTTGCCAGTCACTGTGACATCATCATGTGCGCAAGCACTGAGCACCGCCTCCGGTGGTTGCCGGAGGCGGGAAGCTGCAGGGATTTCATGGAAATCCTGGCCTTGCGTGTGAATAAAGTCTCAGATATCAGTCTGGATATCTTGCTTGACGCATAACGACGATAAACGTTCTGTTATGCCCGCTGGCTGAGATTCATTCCACCTTTTGGTGAGTTCGACCGAGATGATTGGATGGTCCCCAGCCACGACAGAGGTCAGATGGGAGGCCGGCGACGGAACACACCGCCTGACACAATGCTCCGAGGATTCACGTTGGAAAAGTGGGTGGTTTGGAACGCGGGTCGGATAGAATATAAGACCTCAGTGAATTGGGAGAGCGTCCCTGATTGTCAATTTCGAAAACGTTAGGGTTCGCAGATGTCCACGGTACTCTTCACCACCAGGTCTTACTCCTACAAAATTGAACCTCATCTTTTCCTTTCCCAACCAAAATCAAAACCATAAATTAGTGTGAGATTCCGGGGTCGGAACTGTCTGAAAGGCTCAGAGGTTGATTCTCTGCGCAGGACAGTTGACACCAGACGCAGGATGCTACAGACCGAAAAAACGGTCGCAGATCTGTCATGACCTAGCCTGGACTCGAACCAGGGCCTTCCGGATTCCGCAGATATATCGGCATATTCATACTGAGTGCGGATGTGAGACCTCTCACCACCAGGTCTGATTTCTACTGAAATGACCTTGGTTTTACCCTTTGTCTTGAACTTCGTGTTTTGTCGTCCAGTGATTTGTATCGAGATGAACGATAGCCAGGGCGGGAAAGACACCGCGCGGTCCGCTTTAGTTTGCAGGCCGACACGAGGACGGCGATCCAGGCCAGCGGATGTGATACCTTTCATCACCAGGTCTCAGCCCCACTGAGCTCAAGTGTGTCTCGCTGCAGTAAACACTCACAAGCAAATTTACACTCGACATGGTGTGAGATGCCGGGAAAGAAAGAAAAACACAACGAACCCCTAGCCTGGATTCGAACCAGCGTCTTCCGCAGATCCATTTGTGGCTTCGACACTATCAACGGCAGAGACCCTTCACCAACAGGCCTTACTCCCACCAGTTGAACCTGTTCCCAGCCAAATTCAAAACAGTAAATTGGTGTGAGATGCCTGGATCGGAATTATCTGAGGGGCTCACTCGAGATTCGCACCAGACGCAGGATGTTACACCCCGAAAAGAAAAATCAGTCGAGCAAGACGACGATCTCGCCTGGATTCGAACCAGGTACTTCCATACAAGTTATTGTGAAATTCATGCATGTAATGCGGATGTACCCTTCACCACCAAGTCTCACAATACTTACTGAGTTGAACCTCATATTTTGCTGTGATCTGCCACTTGTGCTGCAGATCAGAGGCACCTGCACAATGACGACAAGACAGAGATCGAGTAAACTTGAAGCACTAGAAGATCCTACATGGGGTTTTAAAAAATTGCATCTGGAAATGTCATGACCTAGCCTGGATTCGAACCAGGGCCTCCAGTAGATGTATGCAACATCCGATGATTACCGAGTGTGGATGTGATACCTTTCACCACCAGGTCTTATCCCCAGTGAGAACACGTCTGGGCAGGTATGTTCAAATGTGCGCAAATGAGTGCTGCTAAAACAACCCATATCAGAACATCAATCAGCACATATAAGTGTAGAATCTGGACAAAATCTCAGTCTAGATCTGCTCAGGTATGCCCTCATATGCTCTGATACGTTCCGCTTGTCCTTTTACTAGATTCTGACATAAATTGCATTTCAAATTGCTACAGCATACAAAATATGGTACAATGAAACTCGGATACGACCTCGCGCCGTCTTCGCCATCCTCGCTCGCCGCGTCTCCTTCATCCTTGCTCGCCGCGTCTCCATCGTCTTCATCGATGGCTGTCGAGACACTCTTCGTGGTACGCGATGACGCGCGGAGTTGGAACGTGGAGTGCAACCGGGCGGGGGGAGCGGGCGCGCTGGCGGTACACACTGCATAGACTTGTTAGCTCGAGCAGACGAAAAGGGGATGGTCACGCACCTGCACGTAGATAGCCATGGTCCTGATGAGCGCATGACTTGGGGGCGTGTCGAGCGCGCGGGGGCGTAGACGTCGGGAGGTGTGTGCGTGCGCATGCTGTCACCTGATCAGCTGGAGGCTAAGATGAAAAAGAGCATGCGCACCACCTGCACGCGGTGGTCGTCTCAAGCGCGCGCATCGTGCATTGCAATCAATTTCCCCAGCGGCGTGCGCAAGGGGATAGGAAAGAGGGAAAGGCGAGCGCACCGTGAAAGCCCGGGCGTGCCTTTACCTTCCGCGCCGCCGCGCTCTCCACAGTTGCTTGTGCTGCGCTTGACCGTGCTCACGATGCATGGGCGTGTGCGCGCATCGACGTCCAAGGCAGGGAGATCCAGCGGACTACCCTGTGGCGTGTCGAGCAGGAGTAGGTGTAAAAGTTGGGGGGGTGCGCGCCCTGGGTAGTGTATCAGCATGATGTTGAGATGGAAATATCCGCCTGCGCGGACTGCATCTCGAGCGCGCGCGTCGTTTTCTGGGGTGGATGTCCATGGCCACTGTTTTGGGCAGTGCGGGTGAATTGACTGAGCGCAGTAGGTCAGCAAGGGAGTGGGGAAAGGAGAAGCTGGCGCACCGCGTCAGCCCGCGCGCCTCTCTACCCCTCCGTGTTGTCGTGCTTTCCGTCGTTGCGCGTCTTAAGCGCGCGCAGGATGCGCGAGTGCACGTATCCTGACTGTCGCATGCGTGCGCCGTAAGTTCACGATGACACGACAAAGAATAGGCACACACCTTGGACGTCCGCTACGTCGCGAACCTGAAAGTGTCCGTGCACGGACTAGAACCGACTGCTCGCGGAGAGACTCAGTCAGCAGTCGGGGAAGGGGAGGAGGGAAACGGAGGAGGACGAGGGGCGATGGAAGGCGATGGCGGGAAGGGAGATGGTGGTACGAGAACAAGAGGCATTTCGGACTCCGACGCGCGTTCCCGCGCGGTATGACCGCATTGATCCGCTTCAAGTCAAAGTCCGGAATTGCGCCAAGTCGATTTGCTCAATTCTGCGCTCTGAAATTGGATTGGAGGGTTCCGAACCAAAAATTCAAAGTATTGTAACATATTGGTAACATATCTTGACATTTCAATGTGAGCAGCACAGATCACATCACATGAACCATATTTGAGCACATTTGAGCATACCTGCCCAGAGGGCGTTCTCACTGGGTCTTATCCCTACTGAATAGAACCTTGTCTCACTGCAATCAATGTTTGCTCGCAACCAAATTCAATGAGCCAGGTTCAGAATTTCCAAGGCCATCTGCTGTGCATGGAGATTGGCACTAGACCCGCAGCTGCAGGGAAAAATGAGAGACTACGACCTGGCCTGGATTCGAACTAGGGACTTCCGCAGAAATGCTCATCCGATTCATTATTTATTCACTGAGTGCGGATGTGATACCCTTCTCCACCAGGTCTCATTCCAACCCAATTGAACACTGTTTATTTTTGAGGCTGCGGTCAGACTGAGACTCTAGTGTAAAATCGTAAAATCTCAGTGTGATATCTGTTTGTTGGAATCCTGGCTCGATCAAGATTGGGTCCAGAAACACTGTGTGTATTGTGTATTGCAGAGCGACGTTAAAAAATTGCTTCGATCGGCTATGACCTACTTAGCCTGGAATCGAACCAGGACCCTCCACAAACAAATGAACATAGTATATGTTCTGAGTGCGGATGTAATACCCCTCACCACCAGGTCATATTCCAACCAAATTGAACCCTGTTAGTGTCTATTCTTGAGGCTGCGGCTAGACTAAGACTCTAATGTAAAATCGTAAAATCACACAGTGTGATATCGGCTTGTTGGAATCCTGGCTCGATCAAGATTGGGTCCAGAAACACTGTATGTATTGTGCATTGCAGAGCGACATTTAAAAATTGCTTCGATTGGCCATGACCTAGCCTGGAGTCGAACCAGGAGCTTCTGCAGACAGATGAATATGGCCTATTTACTGAGTGCAGGTGTGATACCCTCCACCACCAGGTCTTATTCCCACTCCGATGTCCTGTTATTCATACATTCAAGTTGGATATGTAACGAGTGAGCACGGGAGACACCCGTTCATCTGAACAGCTAGCACTGAAAAAAAATTGCTGGAGCAGGGCAACGACCTAGCTTGGAGTCGAACCAGGGACTTCCACATAAGCGTATTGTGATTCATATATATAATGCGGATGTAATACCCTTCACCACCAGATCTTACTCCTACCAAATTGAACCTCGTCTTTCCTTTCCCAACCAAATTCAAAACAATGGATTGGTGTAAGATGCCTGGATCGGAATTCTCTGAATGGCTCACTGGAGATTCACACCGGACGCAGGATGGATGCTACACCCCGAAAAAAGAATCAGTGGAGCAAAACAACGACCTAGCTTGGATTTGAACGAGGGACTTCCACACAAGGTATCTTGAAATAAATTCATGCATATAATGTGAATGTGATATCCTTCACCACAGGTCTTACCACTAAACGTACCAATAATACACTGGAAAGATAAAGCCCCTCGCTCTGGCTCATAGCGGTGCGCAAAGAGGGGCCATGCCTATTGAGGGGAACCTCATACTCTGCTATGACCTGCCACTTGTGCTGTAGATCAGAGACACTTGCACGATGACGACAAGACAGAGATCGAGTAAACTTGAAGCGCTAGAAGGTCTTACATGGAGTTTTAAAAAATTCGGGTCTGGGAGTGACATGACCTAGCCTGGATTCGAACCAGGGCCTTCAGCAGATGTATACAACATCCGATGATTACCGAGTGTGGATGGGATACCTTTCACCACCAGGTCTTATCCCTACTGAATTGAACCTTGTCTTACTGCAATCAATGTTTGCTCGCAACCAAATTCAATGGGCCAGGTTCAGAATTTCCAAGGCCATCTGCTGCGCATGGAGATTAACACCAGACCCGAAGCTGCAGGGAAAAATGAGACTACGACCTAGCCTGGATTCGAACCAGGGACTTCCGCAGAAATGCTCATCCGATTCATTATTTATTCACTGAGTGCGGATGTGATGCCCTTCACCACCAGGTCTCATTCAACCAAATTGAAGTCTGTTAGTGAGGCTGCGGCAGACTAGTGTAAAATCATAAAATTGTACAGTGTGATATCTGTTTGTTGGGATCCTGCCTCGATCAAAATTAGGTGCAGGAAGACCGTGTGTCTGTATTGCAGAGCGACGTTAAAAATTGTTCAGATCACGGAACACGACCTAGCCTGGAGTCGAACCAGGACCTTCCGCAGAAATGCCCATGAGCTGCATCCATTAATGAGTGCGGATGTGATACCCTTCACTACCAGGTCTTATTCCACCCAAATTGAACCCTGTTTATCCTTGAGGGTACAGCCAGACTGAGACTCTAGTGTAAAATCGTAAAATTGCACAGTGTGATATTTGCTTGTTGGAATCCTGGCTCGATCAAAATTGGGTCCAGGAACACTGTATGTATTGTGTATTGCAGAGCGACGTTAAAAAATTGTCCCCATCATGGATCACGACCTAGCCTGGAGTCGAACCAGGGACTTCCGCAGAAATGCCTCTTAAAGTAACCCATTACTGAGTGGGGATGTGATACCCTTCACCACCAGGTCTTATTCCACCAAATTGAACCCTGTTTATCCTTGAGGCCTTGAGGCTGCAGCAGACTCTAGTGTAAAATCGTAACATCTTACAGTGCGATATCTACTGTTGGAATTCTGGCTCGATCAAAATTGGGTTCAGAAACCTGTATATATTGTGTATTGCAGAGCGACGTTAAAAAATTGTTCCGATCACCGACCACGACTTAGCCTGGATTCGAACCAGGGACTTCCGCAGAAATGCAGTTATCCGACTCATCATCACCTGAGTGCGGATGTGATACCCTTCACCACCAGGTCTTATTCCACTCAAATTGAACCCTGTTTATCTCTGAGGCCTTCAGGCTGCGGCGACTCTAGTGTAAAATCGTAAAATCATATCTGCTTGTTGGAATCCTGGCTCGATCAAAATTGGGTCCAGGAACACTGTATGGATTGTGTATTGCAGAGCGACATTAAAAAATTGCTTTGATCACGGACTACGACCTAGCCTGGAGTCGAACCAGGGCCTTCCGCAGAAATGCTGATTTCGTACAGAGTGCGGATGTGAGACCCTTCACCACCAGGTCTTATTCCTCCTAAATCAAACCTTGTCTTAATCTCGTCCTCGAGTCCGCCACTGACCACGATGTGAAATCGCACTCAGTACATTAGGCGCTCTGATTCTGTCGGAGTAAAATCGGAGCGAGAAATTTAAACTCAAACACTGTAATGCGAAGCGGAGAAAAAAATGCTCTTCTCTAGACCATGACCTAGCCTGGAGTCGAGCCAGGACCTTCTGTAGACCAGTGAAAATAGTGCAAATACTGAGTGCACATGCGATACCCTCCGCCACCAGGTCTTATTCCTACTCCGATGTCCTGTGATTCATACATTCACGTCGGATCCGCGAGGAGTGAGCATGGGAGACACCCGTCATCTGAACAGCTAGTTTGGTGAATCAAGGAGAGAGAAAGAGACAGAGAGGAGCAACGTTCCTCAGATCAGCAGTGGAGCAAAGAAAAAAGAGAGCTCCGCTTCGACTATCCATGGCCTAGCCTGGATTCGAACCATGACCTTCCGGTACCTACATGGCGGTGGGTTTATGACGTGTGGATATGATACCCTTCACCACCCACTGGATTTCGCTTGGTTTTTAATTGGTGGTGCCCGCAGTGATTTATTTGAGCTCAGCGAGCACCGAAAAAACCCCCCGAACAATGGTTCATCTGCGCGACGCGTCAGTTTGCAGACCCAGGACGGGCGGGTGACTATTGACACTGACTCGGAGGTAAAGGGCTGAAGCGCGCGGAGGTGTAAAAAGGAATTGGATTGAAAAGAATGGACTTCTTGGCTACGACCTAACCCGGGTTCGAACCGGGGACTTCTTCATCTATCAGAGAGGTTCTGCAAGTTTAGGAGACGCGATGCCGCTTCGCCATTAGGTCTTGCCTTACATTTCTTGCAGGGCTGTAGATGTGGAATTGAGAACGAGACGAGAGGTTTGCTTTAAAATTAAATGAGAATGGAGGGCTTGACTGTGGAAATGAATAGATGAGCGACCAGTAGAGATCGGACGGAGATAGCAAGTTTATGCGACAAGCTGATTCAGGGCTATTCGGGGTAAGTGCTGGGAGGTGTAAAAGGAATAGAATTGAAAAGGAAAACCCTTCTATCCGAGTCATGACCCAGCCTGGGTTCGAACCAGGGACTTCTCCACAGCGAATGTGACGATGATACTGACAATTAGGAGACGCGATACTGCTTCACCATTAGATCTTGCCTTACATCTCTTGCAGGGCTTTACATTGGCATTGAGAACGAGACGAGAGGCCTTAAAATCAAATGAGAATGGAGGTGGCGACTTGGTGGCGACGGGGCTTGATGAATGGATCATTGGATGAGAGGAGATCGCGCCACTGACTTGAAGGACAGATCGGACGGAGATATGTAGTAAGTTTACGGGAGCGCTGATCATTAAGGCACGCCGAGATAAGCAGGGAGCGAGAGTGGATAAATTCATGAGGATATGTATGGGTAGATTAATATTGTTAGCGAGTGACTTTGAACGAAGAGAGCATTGCAGAAAGGCAAGTGCGGGCTGACTAAGCACGCCCACTTTCCTTCTGCGACGGCCGCGTCGACGAGCGCACGGACAAGCAGACTGAAGGCCAGACTCTGGGAAGCTGAAGCAGGAGGGGAAGAATAGACAAGATAGGGCAGGACGTAGAGCCGAAAGCAGTGCGCCGCCATAGCAGCGGTCTCGACACGCCGTCACGCTCTTGCACTGCACACGGACTCGTACTCGCTCGCGGACTCGGACTCCTCGGATGCCGGGCGCACCCGCGTGGACGGACCCGCCGTGGTCCGGGTGGATCGAGACCACGGGCGACGCGCTCCTCATCCTCGAGGCCGCGCGCCGCGGCCTCATCCCGCGCGTCACGCGCCGCCTCGTGGACACCGAGCGCCGCATGATCGCCTCCGGCAGCGTCTTCGTCTTTGACGAGGACGAGAGCGGGATAAGGCGGTGGACGGATGGGTTCTTTTGGTCGCCGAGCAGGATATTGGGGAACTTTTTGCTGTATCGGGAGACGGAGAAGAGGGGGGCGGGGCATGGGAAGCGGCGCGGGGGCGGGTGTGGAGGAGGATGGGGAGGAGGGGGAGGGGGAGGGAAGGGAAGGAGGTGGGGGGAAGGGCGAGAGCTTGAGCCGCCCGCGGACGGAGGGTGTGGGCGTGGATCGGCAGAGGGAGCGCACGCTCGTCGGGAGCCTCACGAACAGCTTACAAGTTCAAGGCCGATGGACTCATGAGAAGGTTTTTACTTCTCTTTCCTCCAGTCTCTCATACACCAACTCACCCACACCTAGACCTTCTCCCTAACCCTCGACGGCGTCCCGCAACACCTCATCTCATACTACAAGATCGCCGACGTCGAGTCCGGCCGCCTCCGCGCGCCGTCCTCCCTCCCCGAGCTCGCGAGCCTCGACATCGCGCCCCGCGCTCCTCGCGCGCGACAACTTCCGCTGCCGCCCAAGACGGAGGTCGGGATCGATGGCGTGCCGCGGTATCGGGGGAGGCGGACGGAGTGGTCGCCGCGGGGCTGGATTTGGGGCTGGGGGTGGGCGTGGGAGGCGGGAGCGGGGTGCGCGGGGGTGGGTGGGGGAGGGCGCGTGGGTTGGGGGTAAGGAGGAGGAGGGCGCGCGGGCGGGGGCGTCGGGGTCGCCGCGCGGAAGGCACCAAGGAAGGAGCGGACTGGCAGCGGGACCGCGAACGCGGAGGAGCCGCTCGAGGGCGCGCCGGTCACTGGGTGCCCGCGAGGTGTGTCGGGTAGGTCATTTCTTCCTCCTCCCTCATTCATTGTGTGTCAGACCGCCCTTGCCACCCCATCTTCATCATCCGTACACCATCCCTTTGAACTCCCCACCACCTACTCTCCATGTACCACACACTCCGGACCCATGCCCCTTCTCTTTGCTCCCTTTCTCTCCTTGCCGCCTCGTTTCTGCTCCACCCGCGTCCCCCCGCGCCCCCCCGCGTCCCCCCGCGTCGCCCGCGGTACCGTCCTTACCAGCGCGCGCCATCTCACCCATCCCATATACTTCTTACCTCGCATTGCATCGTTCTTTACCCGTTCATCCCCCGCCCCACGCTCTGCTCGACCCTCTCTCACATCCGCCCTCCTCCCGACCTCCGCATCTCCCACAATCGTCCGCCCCCGTCCCCCCCCATACCTTCATCCTCCCCCCCGTCCTGCGCTCCCTATGAAGACATCTACCCTTCCCCTTTTTTCGTCTGCGGCCTAGTTTTCGTTTTCTTTTGGTCTAGTCTACCTCCGAATCCACTTACCCATCTCCTTTCATTCCTTCGTTTCCTTTCTATTCGTTGCCTTTTGGTCCTGTCGATCCCCTCCCTCGCCCCGTTTATCGCCCTTCCCCTTCCTTCACGCCATCGCCTTCCCTTTTCCCGACGCGCGCCTCCATCACCGCCTCCACATCCTCTTCTTACACTCTCCGTTCTTCCTCTCCTTCCCCGTTACTTCCTCCTTGTGCCGCCCTTGTCCCTTCCTCCCTCAAAAAATGACCCCGCTCCCACCCATTTCTCCTCTGCGATCCCTACTTTTTTTTGTCTGCGCTCGAATTCACGCATCTTCTATTCATATATTCCTTTTTTCCATTCGTTTCCATTCCTCCCCCGCCCCCGCTTCTCGTTGATGCTATCGCCTTTCCCGCCGCGCGCCGAGGGGCCGTCTTCTCTTCGTGTCTGCATCCCGCGATCTTCTCCTGCTTTCTTTCATCCTCCATCCTTTTCGTCCCGCGCTCTCGTCCCTATATCCCTAACCTTCTCCACATTCCCTTGTGTTATGCTCCTACCCTCCGCCCCATCCCACCACGATCTCCCACCGCCCGATCCCATTCCCACCCCATCCTGCCACCGCTTTTTACTACTTATCCTGTCCTTTATCCATCCGTTCATGCCCTGACCACGTGCTGCACGTCCTCGTCCTCGCCCCCTTCCCACTTCGGCACCCGGCCCTCCGCCCTCCGTCCTCCTTTGTTACCGCTCCTCCATCGCATTTTCGTTCTACCTCCGCGCCCCTCCCCGCAATGATCCCCCTCCTATACTTCCATCACACCCTCTCCTTATACCACTCTCCGCCCTCCGCGCTCTGCCTCCCTCCCCAAAGGATGGCGCGCCCATTTCTTTCGTCTACGCGCCCATTTCTTCATTTTCGTCGACACTCCAATTTGGCACTCGTTTCTTTCATGCGTTCCCTTGCCATTCATCTCCGTCCATTCGTTCCTTGCCCCGTTTTCTTCTCTTCACTTCGTGCCATCTCTACTTCCATTCGTTCTCCATGCCGTGCTTCTCCGGTCCCTATATCCTTATCCCTATCCACTCCCACAGTACTCGCGCTGTCCTCCTCCTGCGGTTGGACGTCCCTGCGCCCCCTCCTCTCCCTCCCTCCATCCTAGAGACAGCTATCCGTCTGTTCTTGCTACATCCTTCCATTCGTCCGACATCTTCTATCCGTTCTTTTTCTCCCTCTTCCACGCGTACGAGTGCACGTGTTTGTCCCTCCGTCCTCCCCATCCTCCTTCTGCACCCGATCTGTCCTCCGCGTCCTCCGCGTCCTCCCCTCCGCGGCTCCCCTTACCCCCTATGATATCCCAGGCTCTCCACCCCACTTTCTTTGGTCTACGCTCCATTTTTGGTTACGCTCGAATCCACGTACCCCTTTCCTTTGCTCCGTTCCCTTTGCACTTGATTTCTTTTCATTCGACGTCCGTCGCTCATCCTTGATATCACCTTGCCTGATACGCGTGGTCCTCTCTTCGTGCTGCCCCGCTCTCCGCCTTTATACTCCCTCCTCCCGTACCTACCCTCCTTCGTTCATACCCCAGACCCCCTTCTCCTTCGCCACATCGGTTTCTGCTTCTACGCATTTCACTCCCGTTCTCCATTCTCCGCTCTTCTTCCTCCGTCTAGCCCTCCCTACTCAGTTCCTCCCCGTCCCCTGTTCCTGCCTCTGCCTGCGTCGTCGCCCCATCCCGTTGCTCCCCTCCCTCCCTTGTTCTCCCCGCGCCTCCATCCCGCATACCCCCCTTTGTCCCGCGAACGCACCTCCCATGTCCTCGCGCCCCGCCCTCTCTCCCGCATACCCTGCGGCCTCGTCCCCTCCCCCTCTCATACCCTGTGTCCTCGGCCCCTCCCTTCCGCGAGCGCACCTCCCCTTCTCGTGGCACGATCCCTTTGCTCCCTGCCCTCCATCCCTCTCGTGCCCGCGCCTCCTTTCGTACCCCTCCCTTTCCCTCCTTCGGTCGTCGTAGCTCCCCCTTTCCTTCTTATCCTCCGCCCCATTCACCCCGTCTTTCCCCGCGCCACGCGCGCCTCGCGCCTCGCCCGCGCTCCTGATCCGATACCCCGCGATTCATCTCCACGTACTTGCGTTTTCGTCTCCCGTCCCTGTCTCCCTCTCCATCCCTTACTACATCTTTCTCTCCTCATCACCCTACTCCGAGCCTCCTCTCTGCGCGCCCCGCTCAACGTCATCCTCCGCCCCATTCCTCCTTCGTCATCCTCCCCCCGCGGTACTCCGCGCCCCTGATCCTCTCCCAGCCCATCCCCACGCTACATCCCTCGCGCCATCCTCCCTCATACGCGCGCCTCCCCGCTCCGCCCTCCGCCGTCTTCCTGCGCGCGCCTCCCCGTTGCGTCTGATCCCAGCCCCTCCCCCCGTCCGCTCCCCCCTTGTCCCTTCATCTGCCCGCGCTTCCGCCCACCTCCCCTTCCCCGCCCTCCCTCCTTCTCTTTGCGTCTCTGTCTCCGTTTGCGTTTGCGTTTGCGTGTCATGCCTTCACACGTTCCGACGTTCCGTTGCTCCTCTTCCCTTCCCTCCCGCATTCCTCCCTTCTACTCTCTTCTTCTCCTTCTCATTCTCGTTCTCGTTCCGCTGTTCCCCCTTCCTTTCCTTCTGCTATGCCTCATATCCCCGTGTGTACCCACGCTGACCGCCGTTCCCAGCCCTGACCCTTAACTCCGCCGCCGCTGCAAGTCCGCACCCGAACGGGAACAGCAATACGAACGGACATGCGCAACGCGCCGAACGGACACACGATGAACGCTACGAACGGACATGCAGCGCCGAATCTAAAGTACCCTCACCCGCCTCAAATAACGCACACGACTCCAATAACGCACACGACTCCAATAACGCATGCGACTCCAATACCTTAACACTCACTCGCCGCACGACTCCACCCCGGCAGGCGCAGGGCACGAAAGCGCAGCCGGCGCACGGAGCCCGCGGGCGCGCCGCCTGCGAACGTACACGCGGGGCTCCTTCGAGTTTGACGAGCGCTTCCTTTTCGAGTACCTCGACTACGGCCTCGACTTCAACTGCAGCTACCTCGGCGCAGCGCGCGTCCACTTCAATCTCGCCTACTTCGCCGATTTCTCACCCGTCGACCTCGACCTTGAAGTAGCGGGCAACGCGCCTCGACGTCGCCAACGGAGCACCAGCAGATGGGGGCAACAGCAACCAGCACCAGCACCAGCAGACAATGGGCGAGTACATCGTCGCGCACCCGCTATTCGCGGAGCCGGTCGCGTATTCGGGGCAGAATATGGAGGAGCCGGGGGTGGCGCCAAGGATGGGGGCGGCGCAGGGACAGGTTGGGCAGCAGGCGCAGGGGCACGCGGCGCTGGAGACGCGGACGCACGCGTTTGGGACGTATCCGGGGCAGAATATGGAGGAGCCGGCGGTGGCGCCGCGCCTGGGGACGAGAGGTTCTCCGGGGCAGCAAACGCAGATACAGACGCAAGCAGGGCAGCAGACGCGCTCGCCGCCGCAAGGGACACGCTAGACAGCCGGGGACGCAGGGGCAAGGACTGCAGGCGCTGCAGGGGCACCCGTTTGTGCAGTACGCGGGCAGAATATGGAGGAGCCGGGGGGTGGCGCCGCGCGCGGGGCCGTCGACGTCACGCTCTCCACCGCAGCCGCAGCAGCAGAGTCAGCAGCACGGCCAAATACAGACGCGCTCCCCGCCGCTATCTCAAGCCCAGATGCAGGCACAGTACGACCCGAGTTCGCTCGCGGCGGTGTACTCGGTGCACTCGATGGAGGAGCCCGCGATGGCGCCGCGTGTGGGGGCGGGGACGCAGGGGCAGACGCAATCTTCGCCGCGGTTAGGACACGACGCGCAGACGCGCTCTCCGTCGCTAGCCGCCGCGCAGTACGGCTCGAGCTCGCTCGCGGCGGCGGCGGCGGCCATGTATGCGCCGGGCGGGTATGTGGGGGCGGGGGCGGGTCCGAGTGTGGGTGTAGGGGCAAGTCAGAGTCAGAGTACTGGTCGGACGGGGGGTGCGCAACAGCAGCAACAACAACCACTTGCGGGCGGATCAGGAGGACCGCCACAGCAGCAGCAACAACCGGGCTCGCAGTACTACACGTACCCGTGGTACTACGCCCTGCCCGCCGGCGCGACGCCGGGCGCGTGGACGGGGACGGCGTATGCGGGGCCGCCGGGGCAGCAGGTTTATGCGGAGGAGGAGGAAGAAGAAGAAGAGGGGGAGGGAGGGGGGAGAGGAGACGGAGAAGAGGAGGATGAGGGCGATGGTGGCTAGTCTGCACGCGGGGTCGGGTTCCTTTCTCCCCGCTCGGTGGTTTCAGTTCTTTTCGTTTTCGTTCTTGGTCATTTTCGTTCATTCATCACTCACTCAAGCTCTCGTATCGTTTTCCGCTCTCTTGCACTTGTACTTACCTGTATTGTATCTTTTCGGCTCCCCTCATCCTTCCTTTACCTCTTATCACGCATCCTCATCCACGTTCGTTCGTTCTTTCGTTCTGTGTTGTAATATGTGTATGTTAAGACGTATGTACATAGTAGTGTATGAGTACCGATACTAAGTAGTAGTAACACGCAGGGAGAATGAGAAGCAGTTGTGCTTTCGCTTTGGGTGTCGGAGGTGAGGGAAATTAATACCGCCGGTGGGTGCCGGTGGGGGCAGAAAATCGGTGGGTAAGGTAAGAAGGGAGGGAAAGGGGTAAGAGGGAGGGATGAGGGACGAGGGAAGACCCAATAGCGAAATGATATCGCGTCCACGCTGCATGCGAATCCAGCCATGTATCCGTGGAAGTTCCCTGTCCGACTTAGGTTATAATAATATTACTGGTACATCTTTTTTCATTCAATCTAGTAATTATTCCTCGTTGCTGGTTCCCGCTTCCCTGGGGTAAGCACCCAGCTGAATCCCTGGTAGGGAAGACCTAATGGCGAAATAATATCGCGTCCGTCTCTCATAAGGGCGAAAAGCCGGGCCAGTTGTGTGCGGAAGGTCCCCGTTCGATTCGGGGTTAGGTCGTATGGAGTAGGATCCAATTTTTTGGGGGGCCCTGGATATATTATGCTGGTAGGGCGACTTCCCTTGTGGTAGTCATGGCTGGTGGGACACGCGGGTAAGTAGGACCTAGTGGCGAAATGAATCGCGTCCATGCTTTGTTATGGAGGGGGCGATCAAGTGCATATGCAGAAGGTCCCTGCTCCATTCAGGGTTAGGTCTGAGTCGTAAACGTCCTTGGTTTGAAGTTTTTGAGTCGCTCGTAGACAGAGCTTCAACATACAAACTTGCCCCGCTTGTTGGAGGCATTTAATTGGAAATATTTTGTAGGTAGTTCAACTCCCCGTGATAGTTATAGCTGGCACGGGTCCCTGGCAGGAAAGACTCAATAGTAAAATGGGATCGCGTCGGCGCTGCATATTGAACAGCTATCGCTGGTTATGTGCGGAAGTTCCCCGTTCGATTCGGGGTTAGATTGTAGTACTGTTAGAAATGGTTTTTTCAAAGAAATCATGCTGGGCAAGCGCTAGAGCCTAGGATGTGAATTAGAGTCTCTTGTGATATCTATAGCCACTGGCAACGTGAACCTCTGGTAATAAAGACCCAATAGTGAAATGATGTCGCGTGGAATGCAGCATGCGGTCCAAGAGCGCTGTTCGATTCGAGGTTGGGTCACGACTCACGAGCTATCTGGATGGTACTTTTTCTCTCGTCTCTTCATGATCATGTTTATGTTGTCGCGTTCAAGTTTCCCGGCCACAGATACGAAAGTTCATGGCAGGGAAGACCTAGTGGCGAAATAATAATGCACTGGACATCAGAAAAGATCATGGAAGCTCCTAGAGTCGTATGGGTGTTATTTTGAGTAGATGAAGTAGCCATTTGTCCGGGTATGCAGGACGCGACTGCCAGATTTTTTTTTTTTTGGTCTCAGCACGGTCACATGATCAATGTTCGAACTGTTTCAGTGCAATTGTCGCGTCGGAACCACGCGAAAATCGACATTGGCAATATCAATTGTTGATCCCCGCCTTTTATGTTGGCCTATATCATTTTGGGGGGCCGCGGCGTGCCCTAGAACCGGAACCACGTCGAGGCTTACATATTGACGGGATAACTGGATTTAAATCATCGGCAGGGCACATTCTGTTGGAGAACGAACTGATGGATACTCCCCCCCGCTGGAAGCGTTATGGATGACGGAATGCAAAAAACTAGAGTCGTTTCCGTGAACACTGCGATGCAGTGTGCGGTCAATATCGACGCGAATTTACATTGAGCATACATAGTGGCCCAACAATTGATGAAATATTGTACGGGTGGATTTACGAGACCGAACGGATCAGACATGATCGGCCTGCCCTGCTCCGAAGGAATGAGACTTGTCGGCGTACGGGTACCCCGCGGCCTGAGGGGGATTTGTTAGCGAATGGCTTTCCTCCCCCAGCTCCGGGCCACTCGAAAAGGACTCTCGGCGGAGATGCATCTTGTGCAGGTGCATTGCCTCCACGCGCAGTAACTTATCGTAAGACCAGACGATATACACGCCGTCTAAATGGCTGTAAGTAAAGTAATGGTCTCAACGAGAGAAAGGACGTACATGCTTGGAAGACAATCGGGATGATTGCGGACACGATTACGGCCCACGCGGGGAGTTTACTCGGAGCATCGCAGACAGCGTCTGGCGAGCCCTTCTCGATACAATTCGTCCGGAAGTTGCCCTTGTCGACGAAGTAGAAAATCAAGTTGGCAGTTACACCAATGGCGTGGAAGATTAAAGAGAATGTCAGGAGGTCGGAGAACATCCTAACATGCGATTCCATCTTCCGGAGGCCTCCAATGAACCTGAAGAATCTCTTAGCGCGCGTCACAGCAGAGTGAAAAACCTCGCGAACCCTGTCAGACAGATCAATGCGACGAGAACATGAAGAAATATGGTGAAGATGGTGATGATTTTAGTCCCGAGTCGAATCCGTGGGGTTCCGTCCTTGTCTTTAAATCCATTGATATATGAAAGAAGGTGAGAGAACGAAGGGTAGTACTGACGCTCATAATCGAGCACAAGCCCGACGGTAAGGAGCACCGCAGCAAAGCCGCTCACAAGGAATTGGAGGAATGAGATGATCAAAACACCCAGACGGAGAGGCAAGCAGCAGAGGAATTTTGCGCCCATGATGAAGGAGTGGATTAAAAGTCAGAGTGGGCGGGGAAGGACCTGAGGTGTGCGTCGACAGGAACCAGTACTTATATATATAATAAGGCAGATGATTGCCGAGTTAACGGCGGGAACGACGTCCAAATTGGGGAACGGAGCGTCCCGCTCAGGGTTGGCGCGCTGGCGGTCATAGCCGACGATATGGACCGACGTGAAGATCTGTCGCGGAACGTGCCGGGCGCGTCGATTTCTCCCTCCAAGGTTGGAATAAGTGTAAAATAGAGGGCAACACGACTCCTTGCGTAAGCGCTCAACCTAAACGTCGGTACGTTCAGGAATGCACCGAGACTCATTATCGCTGGAATGGTGACCCTGTTTCAAATTGTTCCAAGGCCCGGCCCGTTGCGTCGTCGTTGCGATGACTGTAGTGAGTCCCAGTCTCATCTTGCTCGCCTCGATCGCACAGCATTAGACAGCATTCACGGTTCGGACGCGGAACAATATCTCTCGCTTATTACCCAATACCGCTTTCAGCGTCTCCGCGTCATATTGATGCGTAGTGAGAGTCCAGGGGCACTGCGGTAGCACTGCTAGCAGGGGTACCTCAAGGAATCTTGCCAAGACCAGTTCGACCTAGTATTCAACTGCGGGCTGGCCATGGATTTCTGTTCCGCTGCGACCATGAATCCCTTCTCGGCCACGGGTCCGTATTTCGGTTCTGCGGCGTACATTCCTGCTCAGCGCTCAACCACCGGCACGCCTCAACATGTACGACATCAGCAAGAAATGCGGGGACTCTGATTTTTTTTACGGCGAGATCGAGTGCGCAGGCTCCTCGAGCAGCGCGGCGACGTAGTCCGTGGCGCCCTTCATCGTGTCGAGCGTCGTGCTAAAGTTGGACCCGACGTCGCTGGAGTACGTAGACACTTCGAGGCCGACCAGGGCCTGCACATCCTTTTGGTTGAGGTATTTAACGATCTCGCTGCAAAGCAAAAGTTCAGGGAGAAGGAAGAGATGGAGCGCGGCGTGCGCGTGCTGATCTACGCCGGTACGATTGGACGAGCAGTTGGATCGGGAACGAGGTGTGGACGCGCGAGGTGGAGTGGACTGGACAGGCGGATTTGCTGCGCAGCCGCTGCGGGCGTGGACCGTCGATGGCAGGCGCGCGGGGAAGACGCGCGCGGCTGGGGCGCTGATGTTCGCTTACTGTGGAAGCTGCGGGCCATATGGTGCGTTCCTTGCACGATTAAGTACAGGCGAGATATATTCACGAAGGATGCTTCTAAGTGCCGTTCGACAAACCGAAGGAGTCGTTGCAGATGGTGAACCGCTGGATTGCGGGGCGGGCGTTGTAGTCGGCGATAGAAAGTATACACGACTCCGCTATATATTAGTTTGAGTTGACGCAAAGGGCAGACTTGTATGGGATCTGGTGTTCAGATATAAGCGTTCTTGGGGCGTGAGCCCGAAGTGTAAGAGTTGTCGTATAGATTTAAGACCTGGCGAGACGTATAGCGCCTGCGTTTGTTAATGATTTGTAGGAGGCCCTGGTTCGAATCCAGCCCAGCTCATGGAGGTGTTGTCAACCGTTTTTTATAGGATTCGATTCGCAATTCAACTTCGTTCGTGAGCCTAACTAGACGTGGTTCGCTGTCTGCAGAAAAAAGACCTGGTAGCGAAAGGTATCGCGCTTGCACTTATTCCGGGGATTGAGCCATTTGTACATCTGCCGCGGGACACCCTGGTTCGAATCCAGGCCAGGTTATAGCCTTGAATGATGTGACTCGACTCACAAGTAATCCTTGAGTCGTAGGTTCGTTGTTGTAGAATCAGACCAGGTGGCGAAAAGTCGACCACGCACCCCATGGGAATACGACTGCATTCTCGCGGGATGCGCTAGGTTCGACTCCAGGTCAGGTCATGGAGGCTTGCAACGAGATATTTTTAGGACTCGCCTCACAATTCAATATCAGCCGTGAGCCCAACTAGGCGGGGTTCATGTTTGGCGGTTTATTTTGCACCAGTGATAAATTGTGCCGTAGGTGAATTGCCGGATACAGGCTGTGGCGACTATGAGGGAAGTGGGTGAGGGGGATGAAAGAGTGGAGATATATATGGAAGACGTAGGGTCGAAGGCGGGGCACGCACGAGTAGAGGGCTCGGGATGACGATGAATTGAGAATTTGGGACCGGGCACGGATGAGGATGAGAGAGGTGCACACGGACAAAATGATATATACAACGCAGGAGGATGAAGACGCAGAGCAAGCGGCGAGTAGAAAGCGGCGATGACAGCTCACAGGATCTCGAGGTTAAACATGAGGCGATGGGCGAGCGGCGAGACAACGATAGCATTAGGAACGATGCATGCAGGACGGGCGAGCAAGTGGTGAGTGGGAAAAAATGGTCCACGGCGATATGGAGCGCGGGCTCGTGAAGAACGCACAGCAGGGACTCAGAGCGGAGAGTGGAAAGGTCATGGAAAGCACACGCTGATAACGCTTTTATTCTTGACGGTGGTGTCACCCACAATTGCCAGTCTTCCTCGTCTTCCTCTGATTGCTCCTCCGATCCGGCCACCGACACTTGTCACGTCGCAGAACAAGGAGGGGAGGGAGTATACTGGAAGGCGCCAGAGAAGCCCATTCCAGCGGACTGTGCCGCTCTTGCCCTAGTCGATTTGACTCGTCGATCGCCGTTTACAACCAACTCGCAACGCCCTCATGCCAGTGCGCCGCTCGTCGACGCGACGCGAGTTGGGTGTGATTGGTCCAAGATGGCGTTCCTTGAGAGTGAGTACGTCGCCTATCTGTTCGATCTCCCGGGTCCCCGTGCACATGGCTGAGACACGGATTTTGCGCTGATTGAG